TAATCACAAAAACCACTAGCCTGTTCATTTCCTCTTTCACATATGTTGTAGGGAGATGTTTTGGCATGGAAATGTGATGTCATTCTGCTAATGAGATGTTCTACTGAATAAAAGTTTGTACTGAGATACGAGGCCCTTCATGTAGTAGTCTTTGTTCAGTCATCTTTTATTACTACTCTTGCAGTCTTCTTCTCCAGAATCTCTTGCAGCTACACTCAACTACAAAGGGTTCAGTTCCTCTGGTGTGCCATGTCATACCACAGAGCTTTAACTTCCCTATTTGTGTGACTGCAAATGCTAGGACTCACTCTTCAATAGCCATTGCACCTTGTTTTCACTCCTTCCAAGCAGAATTTTGCTGTGTAGGCAACCACTGCATTTTATACATTCCTTTATTCTGGCAAGTACTAAATGTTATCTTTGAACTATACATTTTGTAAAAGTCTAATCATGACAAATGGTTTCAAAATTGCTTTGGCTATAATAATAACTGAAAGATACACAGAAGAATGGATACTTTGAAAATTGAACCTATTTGTGTTTTATCTATAATAACTCACTAAGCTAGAATATTTGACCATGTCCTTCACTATTCCTTACAGCAGAAATTTGTCTAATAAACGAACTGATGATTTTTTTAAAGATGCAAAATAGTTTCCACTTTTTCACAAATATTAGACCTATTTTCCTGAGCTCCTGAAATTTACACAGTTAAAAAACAACAAAACAATCCAGTTAAGCAAGCAGTCGAGATGAAGATGGGATGGGCACTTTATATAATTAATCTCATTTCACAAAATACTGACATTTCTTCACTTTACTGTTAAGGCTGACATTTGATTAAAATATCCACAGTTATGCTATGGACTTCAAGGTTTTTGTGATTGTAAGTTGACACTGAATCATGTTTCCTATCATTTATGCTAGAATTATACTAAAATATTTCCCAAAGTGAAAACATCTGGAAGGGGATGCATAAATCCTATTGGGAATTTCTATTATCTTACTTTGCTTAAAAAAATGTAACAGTTGACATAAACATTTACATTCACAGGCTGCCTTTTAGTATATTCATATAACAAAGGGTTGTGAATATTTGAAACGTGGGTTTATGGCCCTATTGTCTACTTCCTATACAGAGAATGGTATAATTTTGTCACTGGATTCAAAACATTGGCCAAGGTTGGCAGACAAATGCAGAGAGCCGGTTTTTGGCATAAATAGCTGATTTTCTGGCAAAATTCATTAGCAATGTACAAGCTGCTATTAAGAGCATATTGTGATGATATATCATGTCAATATTTATTTGGCTGACTAACACTTGAATTTAATAAATTCTTAAATTCACAATTTACAACTAACGTACTATTTCAGAAGTAACTTTTTTTTTTTTTTGTCAGTGCCTCAAACATTTTGACAAGTCTTAAACGGAGACACTTCTCTGTTTTTTACATAAAATGTATGGATAGATTAGGACTTCCCATTTATCCATAGATGTCCACATCTAAGGATTAAAATATAAGAGACAATGAATGAACGAGACAGGGTTAAATGATCAGGATTGTAAAGAGTCACATTGTGTGTTGGGAACTACATCCTTGAGCATAGAATGACTGTTACCCAAAGCAAAGGGAAATGAAGGCTTTGGAGGGCTATGGATGCTTTGACAGATCTGATGAATTGTAGTTAATTACACACTTATTCAACCTAATCTTGGAACTGCATAATCTTGCTATTTGATTTGTGGTTGGAATAAAAAGAAGAGGGAGACCCCTCATCAGAGATTGCTGAGAGCTCATTGTGATATGGAAATAATCATGTTCCAGAGATCATGATTACTCTTTTAAATTAAGCTAACAACTACCTGTGCTAGATAATGTCCTTATATCATAGAACCTTACATTTAGGGAGAGAGTCTCTAAAGTATAATCTATCTACTTATATTTCCTAGTGAATATTTTAAAAGTATTTCATACAAATTTTAATAAAAATAAATGTCTCAAGGATGCCATCCTCTTCTATAAACAAATGCATGTAAAATACTAGCCTGTTGTCCCTTCTACTTCTTCACTTTCCATCCCCACACACACTTGCAGGAAAGAATATGTCTCTTGCTCTGGAAAATAATACCTACCAAAGATTTTCCTGAGATAACTTAATTTGTTTGATTGTTGAGGTTAAGTAACTTTGGCATCATAGCCTCACTAAACAGTCTTTGTGTCTCTCTCCGTCCTCTCCCTGTCCTCCCTCCCTCTCCCTATCCTTCCCCTTACCCCTCCCCCAACCCCTTCCTCTCTCTCTCCCTCTGTCCCCCCATATCTATCTTCTATCTCTACCTATTTCTATCTCTATCTATAGATCTCCAAACTCTTCCATGAATCATGTTTCACTTGGCTACACTATTGTGTAGTGAATTTAAATTGGCACTTGCAATCATAGGTCAATCATGCTCTTCAAGCATCCTAAAATAGAAAATAATTTCCTTTATATTGTCAAGTGCAACTGGACTTAAAGCTATAATCAGTGCATTCTTCTAGATGCATTTATAGTTGAGCAGTTGTTAGAATTTCATGTGTCAAATATATTGGTCCATCTTCCCAGGTTAATTAACATCACCATTCTCAGAAATTTTGTATCCCGAATTAAAATAGGTTATAATTAGCTTTTGAAGGTTATATAGTTATTGCCAAATGAATGTGACAGATAATGAGTGTCACAGGAATTCAGAGGATTATTGAGAGCTGCGCTGTTAGAGAAGAATTTCCAGCAATGGGAATGATTTGAGCAAGAGGGAAGAAGGCACTCAGGACATTAATTTAGCTAATAAGGATATCCTGGGAACTTACTAAGTGCTAGGTGATGCCTGCTTATCAGTGATCACGTACGGGGATACAAGTGCCCCTGGCTTCCTGGAGTGTGTAGGATAGTGGAGGAGAAACAGAAAATGTAGTATTAATTGCTATGATTTAAAAATGTGTGCAGGCTTTTAATTAGGGTGATAAGGAATAATGGACATTTTAGCTGAAATCATGAGGATTTCCCTTATGTAACTTATGGTAGAATGCTACTTCAGAGAATAGAAAAATAAATGCAACCTACCTTGGCAAAAAGACTTCAGGTGGTACACGGATAAGCAGGAAGATCTAAGTGAACCCTGCCTATAGGATCCTGTGGTGTCAGCTTGTCCGGCTGTACACAGAGTCAATTTGAGGAATATGAAAAGGGCCAATTAAACTGAAATGTAGTTGGAGAGGAAAAGACATCAGACTGTGGAGAGTTAGCGTGCAGAGCTGTAGGAACAAAGCTGATTGCAGGAGTCCAGTTAAAGGGAGTTTTGTCAGCAAGATGTAATGAATTTGATCAGGAGTAGGAGTCCTAAGAAGTACAGGCTGCCTCCATTGGATTTAACCAAACAAACACGAATAGTTGGAATTTTAGAAAAATTATCCTGCATTTCTTTATTGTTACTCCCTAAACAATGCAATATATAATGACTATATAACATCTCCATCCCTTGAATCATTGATTTTTTTTGTGTGCTATTGGTGATTGATGCAACTGTAAAACTTGCTTGGAGAATTTATTTTGAATCTTTTCAGTTTGATATCTAAAACCCTCTGGATTAGAACCTTGGTAAAATCACTGTGTTAGCCTTCTCTTCCATTGTAACATTCTCTTTATTAACATTTTCATTGTTAACATTCCCTTCCATTGTAAATGTATTTGAGATTCATACATACTTCACAACAAATATACATCTCGATATGATTTTTTTTCAATTTAATATATGAGATTATTAAGCATCAAAGAGGATAAGTAATCTGGCTCTTGTTTCCAAGCTAACAAACTGTGACACAAAGTTTAACTCGTGATTCTCTAACAATGAAGTCAGTGCTTTCTGTCTCCTCTCCCAGCAACGTGCAAGACAGGGACAGCAGAGCAGAAGAGCTCCTAGGAAAACTAAATCCTTAATACCATAACTAATGGCCATGACCCGTAGCCTTACTGTAGGGAGTAGAAAAACTAGAAACGTGTATCTTTCTAGAGAAAAAGGTAGCATTTTCTTGTTGATTAAAACAAACCATATTTCTAGGTCTCTTGATTAGTACTGGACATATGGTATGTGTATAA